CTTGAGTGCTCGCGGCATCTGGAAACATACTTTGAGCATGTCACCGGCCAGATCACTCTTGCGATGGATGACTGCGATCAGCGTCTCTGGAAATAGGTGGTCCTTCGGACTGCCCATCCACTACTAACACTTGTTGTCCACTGTCATGTTTCGAGCTCAACTATAAACATGTATCATGTTTTTGTTTGAGCACTTCCCATATTGGATTTGTCTTTGACCATGACCATGAACAGCACAAGCACTGAGAGAGTGCTGATTATCTCCTCGCCCATTTTTGATGGGCCATGGGATCACATTACCATGTCGACCTCCAATGAAGGTTATTACGGGGTACTGTACCAGGTCCGAGGGCGTCCAGCCTACTAACGCTGTTTGGTAAGTCATCTTTTTCGACATATCTAAAAACTCTTTAATGAAAATCCCACAACAGATCTCATATAAAGACGACTGATCACGTACTGGACCCTGTCTTTTCATTTGTTGTCTATGTAGGACTGATGGCCGTGATCGACGATATCCTGTCGTGATTATTTCAACCTCGTCAGTTCATTCACACACGCCGATAAAAATCTTACTCACCTTTTTAGCCCAACAAGTCGTGCGGCCAATTGAGGTGAAAATTAAGTTTGATAACGAACAATATAAAAACTTACCGTTTCCTAGATTTCGCCATCAACGACGGCGCCGATGTCAATTTAACTTTCTTAGATCCCAAGGAATCTGTTATCTATTCGAGTCGGTATGTTGATAAGAACATCGATCATCGGCGACTGTAGCCCTGAGAGTTACGGTTGCAGTCGCTAGTTTACACGAGGTCGGTGAGATTGATAACAGTCATCAATGCAGATTGCTCACTATGTTCCTCAATTCAGATGCCCCAAGGTGTCGTTCTCCTCTTCATCGCTGGTGCGACGCCACTGCGAATTATTCGAATCAATGAGTTCGTGGCGAACGAACACGACAGCAGGTTCTCACATCCATTTACCGGATGATAGCGTCGATGCCAATTTAACTTTTCATTGACCCCACGAGGAGACCTATCATCGGTTCGAGTTGGTAAGAACCCTCTTTTTTTTTGGGATGAAGATTAGACGCGCACCGCTTTCCAGATGATCTACCACTGAGGACAGCGATCATCGGCGACGCTTGGGCTCTGTAGCTCTGTGGTTTGAAGTTCAGTCGCTAATCATGAGGTCGGTGAGATTGATAACGAACATCAATGCAGATTGCTCATTCCCCTGTTCAGGTGCCTCGAGGTGTGCTCGTCATCGCTGGTGCGCCCCCACTCTGAAATATTCGAGTCGGCGAGTTTCGTGGCGAACGAACACTGGCCGCGCGATGCGTAAGTCGATCACTTTAACTTTTCAACAACGAGGAAACCTGTTATCGTTTCGAGTCGGTTAGGGACCTCAAGCGAATCCTAGATGATCTACTACCGAGGACAGTGATTGTAGGCGACCCTATGGCACTGCAGTCCTGAGCTAATTTACATGAGGTCGGTGGGCTTGATAATGAACATCAATGCAGATTGCTCACTATTTTCCCAATTCAGATGCCCCGAAGTTGCCTCCTCTTCATCGCTGGTGCCCCGTCACCGCGATTTTCGAATCGGTGAATTTTGTGGCGAATGAAATTGAGAGAACCTATGAATGTTTCGAGTTGGTAAGAAACCCTTGTTTGTTTTGGATGAAAATTAGACGCGCACCGCTTTCCAGATGATCGACTACCGAGGACAGACGCTTTGGCGCCGTAGCTCTGAGGGTTGCTGTTGGAGTCGCTAATTTGAATGAGGTCGGTAACGTTGATAACAAGCAGACCGTCCTGAGGTATTCTCGTCGTCATCGTTGAGGCGCCGCCGCTGCGAATGATGCACGTCAGTGAGTTTTATGGAGAACGAACGTTGACCGTACATACGTCATTCACTCTCCACATCGATAGTCGCCCTCTGCGCCTCCGCCCCTCCCGCCCTGAGGCCTCTGCGTATTCGAACGCTCTTCCAGCTCAGCGGCGATCTTCAGCGTCAGTAAGTAGGTCCACTTTCCCAGTTCGTGCAGGCGCAGGCGCCTCCTCCGCGCTGCACTGGTCGCAGTAACCCCAGGTCAAGATGGGCTTGCCGTGTTTCCGACAGCGACAAGGACGACTGACAAGACGTCGGCTTGGCTGGACTGCATAGGCTGGGTTTTCGTGCTGCGGCCGCTGCAGTCGCTGGGCACTGGCTGCCTTCGTGCGTTGGGTGGGGGGTATAAAATTTCGGCGACGAGGTACTCACCGCCGTCCAGGATACCCATAAATCCAGCGCTTGTAACCTTTGGGCGGCTGGTTCTCTGCGCTCTCTTTCCTTGCTTGACTTCGTCGTTTGGCTGGTGGTTTGATTTGCGGGATTATAGACCATCTTCGTTTGGACTTCGTGCACGAGGCACATGGGGTGCATGTAAGTCGGCAATGTAACGGTGTACCGCGCACGAAAATTGACTGGGAGGCAGCGGTAAAGTGTGGGGGACGGGCGACGGGGCTGGTGAGGGTCTCGACGAACCCCAGCAATTTCTTTTCGATTTGGGGGGAGTTTCAGTAAAGTTAGAGTTTCGGGATGATGTCACGTGAGAAATCCTAAGAGTATATTGGAACTTGAAGGCGGTGAGCCCGTTTGCGAGGAGTGTGGGTGTTGCTAGAATATTCTCCAGGATCAGCATAGGGCATAGACAGACCATATGTAAAGATGCGGATCCCGAGAATGCAGGCTTTTTCTAATATAAATAATAGAGATTCGACAAAAGCAAATACAGCAAAGAAGGCTGTCCGCGTGTTGAATGAAAACCGAGAATGATAGAAACAACCGCCAAGGTTGAACGTTGAACGTTGATCGTCTTCCCAGCCTTCCCTTCAAAGTTTAAGTTGACTGTCGTTCCCATATAACTATGTATGTAGGACATCCATTTCCCATCGGCCCGTTACAACTTCCACGTTGAGTATGAATCCCGTAAATGCAACTTCGAAGAAAACTACAGAGAACAAACTTAGTAACCGGTCCGCGGAGGAGAAAACCAAGCCTAGCATGATAATTTAAATACAATCCCCCGAGGTGTCTTTCCTGTACATGTCTATCGTTCTCGTTATAACCCATGTCCCATCGGCCCGTTACAACCAGCGGACTCTCCAGATTGCCGTCGACGCTGTGTATGATCCCGTGGAAAAAAACAGAGATACAATAAGGATAAATTTACAGCGATCAAGGGCGTACATAGCTTAAGAAAGCCGAGAATAATAGAAAAAAACCCTCATATAACCCGGTTCGAAAATTCTTTGAATCGGCAACCATCCACATCGAGCATGTTGAACCCCGTATGCAAAACTTCGTTCAATAAAATAAAGAATACAACAAAGAAAAAGCAAAAAACCACATCACACAGCCCGCTCTAACCCCCAAAGGTATACATATCACCGCCCACCCCCAACCATCGTCCGCATATACCCCGGCGGCCCACCCCCCATCGGGCCATACCCCGGCGCCATCCCCGCGCCCATCCCCGCGCCCATCCCGCCCCCCAGCGCCATCCCCGCCTGCGCCTGCGCCTGCACCTGCCCGGCCGCATTCCCACCCCCACCACCCACCCCACCGCCAGGCCCGGGCGTCCCGCTCCTTGCATCCCGCGCCGAGGACCGATCGTCTCTTTCCGCGATCGTCGCGCCCCCGCGCGACGCGTCCGCGAGCCCGCTCGCCGCGCTGAACGTCTGGCCCAGCCCGTAGAGCTTCCCGGACCACTCCGCGTCGTCGATGCGGTCGTCGAAGTAGAGCTCGCGCAGCTTGAAGAAGGTGGACGCGGTGAGGAGGGAGTCGGAGCCTGCTTGCTGGCTCGCGCCGATTCGTAGTACCTGAAGCGGGAGAACGGGAGGGGTCAGTCAAAGATCTGGTAAGGAGGGAGGGAAGGGGAAAGGGAAAGGGAAGGGAAGGGGGAGGGGACGCACCCCGAGGTCGTCGGCGACGTCTTGCAGGCCGCCTTTCAGGTCCTTCGACGCGCGCGTGAGGAACTTGATGTCGTACACGGTCGGGAACCATATTTTGAGCAGCGCGAAGAAGGCGTCTTCCGTCGTCGGGAGGGATTCGGCGGTGAGGAGTTTGACGAAGTATCCGAAGTCGTAGCCACTGGAAATTTTAGCAAATAGACAATATAATCAGTTATCGGGGTCTAGATGTGAGTGTATGTATGAGAGGCTGGGCAGCCGGTTGATGCCACCGACTAGGAACTCTACCGCATGAACGCAGTGTCCGCACGGGGCCAGCAACTTGTGGATATGAACGCACCTGTGGAAGGATATCCATCGAGTATCAGGAGACAACACCATCCCGGACGTGATCATCAGTTCCGCAAAGTCGTTGGGCACGATGCCAATCTCTTCATGCCGCTGGAAGTCGATGCCCGCTTTCTGGAGCTGCTCCACGGACTCCGGGGTGAACATATCTTCTCTAGCCGCGCAGACGCATCAGCTCGACACCGCAAGACCGACACAACACACAGAGGGAGGGGGGGGACATACGCGAGGCTGAAACGGAAGTTGAACTGCCAGGTGGAGCACTCCTGCGGGAACTCGCCGTCGTCGTTCGCGAGCGTGATGCCGACCTGGATGATCTTGAGCAGGTCCACGTTGCAGCGCATCGTCTGGTAGTGGTAGTCGGACGACGTCTTGAAGTTGCCTATGGGCCGCGCGACGACGCCTGGGAATTCCGTGTCCTGCGTCTCAGTAAGTCGGGCGAGCGGGGTGGGGCAGGGAAGAGGATACGACCATTGCGACATACGGGAAGTGGTCTATCAGATCGCGTATGTTTCTCATTTCCGCCTCCAGGTTAGGCGCCCATACTTCGCGTATCCGGGCCATGGCGTTTGCAGACAGAAACCGTGGACGACGTGGAAGGCGATGACCTTGAAGTTGGATGATGTAATACACGCAAACAACAAATCTCTTGAAGAAAGACCATAGATTGCCGTTGGGACACCAAATACATCGGCCGACTAGCTCAGCTGGTTAGAGCGTCGTGCTAATACTTACTTCGGTAATAATTACGCGAAGGTCTTGGGTTCGATCCCCACGTTGGCCAGTATACCAGTGTTCGTCCTTGGTTTTTTTTTTTTCTTTTCTTCATTTTTTGCAATCATTGATTCTTGAGGCCTAAATTTCCTAAATCATACTTGAGTCTTGGAGATAAAGAGCAATGTAGACACTGTTTCATCCTGTTGCAACAACGGCTTAAGCTTCAAAAATACAGGCCGCAAAATATATACATGCACATAGCAATATCAATCGTCTTCAATACTGTGGGACACTGTCACACCGCCATCCACAGCAAATTCCACCGCACATCGAGTCTCACCACGAACTATCAACCCCCAAAAAATCTGACACATACGAATAACACACCGCACGCCCGGCCGCATCAGAACCACGCCATATAACTCGTCTCCTCCACCAACCCCACGCTCAGCGCCCCGTGGTCAAAATTGAACGTCTGGTTCTCCGCCACGCGCGGCGACGACGCGATGAACGGCGTCGGCTGCGCGGACGCCACCGCGTACCGCTCCTCCAGGCTCAGGCCCAGGCTCGAGAAGTGGTAGATGTCCGGCAGCCACGACTCCTGCGCGTGGTCCACGGCCCCGCCCGGGCGCCCCGTATTAGCAGTAGCGGTACTGCTGCTGGTACTGCCAGCGGATACGGGCGGCTCGCGCCGGCCTTGGGAGCGCGCCTCCATGCGCTCGGCCGCCTGCGATATGAGCGGGTGCGCGCCGCTGAAGGACGGCGGGAGCGTGGGCTGCGGCTGCGGGAACATCGTGTATCCCGTTTGCGCGTTGCCGCTGCTGTCTGCGGTATGGCGATTGGCCAAAGCTCTCTGAGATTTCTCCGCCAGCTTCTGCATCACAGGCTAGCATAATAAGAAATTAAGAAAGCGCACGGAGTAAGGATGAAGCGTGGTCGAGGATGAGAGATATATGTACGCACCAGAGCCTTGCTGCTGAACGGCAGAATCTTCGCCGCTGCGCGGAAGAGCCGACACGCTTTTTCCAAGTCCTGGAAGGCATACGTCGCAAGCGAGGTCGACGGTGCCCGCGAGATGAGGAGCGCAAGCGTCACCTAGATGAAACGTTTCATTCAGATCGAAGAACGGATCGTCTAAAAGCATTAGATATAAACTAACCGCGGCAGAGAAGGAGTTGAACCAGAAATGGAGGAACCGCACACTGAGTTGCTGCTGCTGATTGAACAGCGTTTCAACTGCAGCTATCAGGTTCGATGTGCCCAGGTACGTCGCAAGCACAGACGGCGCATACGGATGGCAGAGATCAAACGCTTCGGGGCTGCTCATCGCTTCCGTGAAGTACCGTCGATGCAATTGAAGCAGGGCTAAAACAGAAATCAAATTCAGCACTCAAAGCCCTGCAGGAAGAAGGACACCCACGCACCGATCTCACGGCTCATCGTCACAAGCCCGCGCTGCATGACCAGGAAGCGCGGGTTCGCGTCGTGCGGCTGGTGCTCGTCCAGCAGCGCGGGCACACTAAAGTCCCGGACGGCGGTGTCCAGGTGCAGGATGCGCGCGTACGCGGGCTGCGCGACGGCCACCATCGCCTCCAGCATCGGTGTCAGGCATTGGATAAAAAACGCGTTCTTCCATTCGTGATCTGGGCTTATTTCGTCAGTTCCAATCTCTCTTGCATGCAAGGGAATTAAAGAAGGAAGGACCGGGCAAGGACGGCTGACGTACAGACAATTTCTTCTCTGGGGACATACAGCCCAGGGCCGATACAAGTAGGCGGCTTGATATCGACATGGGCCAACTGTATCGATGGTGGCCGCCCAAGGGATAATGCCTTTGAAAAAGGAATCAAAAGTGCATTGAGCGCAAGCACGATCAACGGAGCGCAACAAAGCAGGGTAAACTTGAACCCACCATCCGGCAGTCCATATTTAACAGCTCCCAAAACACGGAGCGGCGTTTCTCATGCTCCTCTGGAATCGTTTTCAGCTGCGGCTTGTCCCTGTCTGCACCCCAGGGTCATCAAGTGAATGAATCGGAATCAATAGCACGTCAATCAGAGCAAGGGTCGAAAAGCCAGAATCAGTATTTTCCGAGTATCAAGGGCACGGAGGTATGCGTACGGAGTCCAAGCTAGGGTCGGCGGCCAGAGTGAGCACTTTTCCTAAGTAGATAACGTTAAACACAAATGCAGCACATACTCCTTGGGCCAATTTCGCGACGAATCCCATTAAGTTCCACGCGTAGCCGACCGCCTTCTTGTTATCAGAGAATATAAGATGATACCAGATCATAAAGAACTGACGACAATGATTAGAACATAAGATCAGTAATGCTAATGCCCGCATCCGTCTCCCAATCCCAATCACTCACCAGAGCGTGAAGGACATCAAAATCAGGCTCCTCCATCAACGGAATTTCGCAGACGGCAGCTCTGGCGAGGTGGTGGTAGGCCTCGCCGTGGAGCGATCCGAGGGAGCGATTAAGGTCCACCAGAGAGCCTATCGACAGGTGCATCAAGAGCAGAGCGAGGCGCCTGGGGCTGAGCGCGTCGATTGGAGTAGAATAGCAATAATTTAAGAGGTTGGGAAGGAAGGTTTCTGAAGCGTCGAGGTTGAATCTAAACATCATGGCATCAGCTCTCCCTTTTCACTCGCAAACGATATCGACTTACTGCCATAGAGCGTTATTCCGCGCCTCTTGGCATATCCTCTGCGCCTCTTCCCTGGGAGGTAACGCATCCCGGATACGTTTGCGCATACTGACATCGACCGCCCAAGGAAACGGAAACGTGACGCTCAGTTGCAAAATATCAGGCGCCACACCCGGGGGCGAGGAGCCTCTCCGCGCGAGGAACTCTTTAGGCCGCGAGCTCTCCGCGTACGTGGGCTGCGAGCTCAAGGACAGCGCGCCAACAGACTGACGAAGGTGCTCGTCCCGTGCACTTGCAGCAGGATCTGATGACGAGGTGCTGGGTGGTAAGTTATATGAATGTGGGCCATAAAGATCTTGCGATGTCTTGATTCTGAGTAGATCCGGTGCAAGAAGAGGATGGGGTTCGGTTGAATTGAGTGAGCGTTCGACTTCAAGCGCCTCTTCAAGCTGTCTGACACGATCCCCAAGCTCGAATATCTTGTCGTGGAGCTGCTCTGCTCCAGCAAGGATGAACCTACGGCATTTTATCGGATTGTCAATGATGGCTCGATAGGAACATAGGCGATAACATCACCTGCTTCCCCTGCCAGAGGTGAGGGCGCCTGTGATATGACATTTGACGTTAAGCGCCAAAATAAAAATAGACATACTAATTCGGAATACGGACCATCAGGACATAAACTCCCGCAGCCTCTCTTGACACACGACTGAAAGGTACAAATTATGTGGGTTTTGGAAAAATTGACGGATGAACGCTTGAGCTCACTTGGCAAGGGAATACTCGATCACACTATCGATAGCAAGTCGATAGTCAACGTATGGCTCATTAGTTTTCAGTACAAGGATCACTGACCTTGAGTTTCAACCTGGATTTATGGCCGACCCAGTAATCAGCACGATGAGCGAGGTTCCACGCAGCCTATTTACGCACCTCCGACATTCTTTGCAAGACAATTTCCGATTATTTTTATCATCAACTCGCCCTCTATTCGCTGATGACGCAGTCGGAACCACGTTCCTCGTTGCAGGTCCACCTGTGCCCATACCCATATCCATTTCTTGCTCTTCTCCATAACCAGCAGCCTGTGATTGCAACACCTCGCCCGAGAACGATACATTCCGAGGTCGTTTCGTCGGTCTCAAAGGGGACTGGCCATCTTGCGTATAGTCGAGCGAGCTCCCCAGCATGTTGAAGTAGAAAACTGACAAAGGGCACGACTGCGTGGTGGGGCCCCAGCAGCAGGGGCAATGAGAAAACGGAAGAATGTAGATTAGAGTTAAGAACGTCTCTATCGTCCTGTCGACCCGTGACCTTCGGAGGGTACATACAAAGGCGTTCTAAGCATGACAGGCAACCTTCAAATACTAGTAATCGGAACAACCGAAGGCACCTCCATCGGCGTCTTTTCCGGTATTTTATTATTTCTTGCAGGTACTCCAGAGTGCCTTATATCCCTATCTTAAGGATGACGCGTACATCGGTCTAGACATCCGTCAACAGGGATTATCAATTATCAATCAAAGATTCCAAAGGATCGAGAAGAGCGACGAAAATTGAATCAAGCAACGGAGTTCGAACGAGTCCTCGAAAATAGGATTTGGTCCATTAAGCATTCCTCGCACCTAAACTAAACTTCAATCAAAAACGATATCGATACAAAGTTAGCACGAGATTATGGCCCAAATGCAAACACATGCACCAGACCTATCCAATATGCTCGCCAAACACCCTATATAGCGGGCATCGTAACCTTCTATTCGTAATTGGCCAGATCGCGGTGTACACCAAATAGGAAGATGCCCTACAAGATGCGGAACTGCCGCTTGTAAGTACGTGTTGCAAGTATTCTCCAATCCGTGGATAAGTGATGGAAGCGTATGTACAGCAAACATACAACTTCTACTAGTGATCATGGAAGCCTCGGCGGGACTGAGTAACGAGGAAGAAGGGCGCTCCTACTTCAGCGCAGAACGTTGTAAAGAATGGGAATAATATCGTACAGATCTCCCAGAGCGAAGAACATACACAATGCTAGTAAGTAGTGACAGATGAAGCTGAAAGAGGAGTAAGGTCGTGATCATGTAGTACATAGAAAAAATAGCAAGTCCCAGCCATGAAAGCGAAATCAGGAAAAAGCCCACCACCTCACACCACTCAAAAGAAGGCCATCCAGGCTGCTTGATCGTTTTTCGAATCCAGCGCACCCATCTCAAAGTTGATAGAGTCCACCACCCCCAACTTGGACCCCTGCGACAGCCCAAACGTCGGCACAGGCGGTCCGTCTGCAGGCAACACCTGCTGGGTATAAATCCCCTCGAACACCTGCGGCTGCTGCTGCTGCCCCTGCCCGCCATACCCCGGGCTCTGCGCCGGATTGCTCGCAGGCGAGTACCCCCGCATCCCGCCGTTCATC